AGTGAGAAATACTAGACCCAAGCAAGACTGAAAACAGCTGGGTAAACTCCAAGCTCTGCATCTTCATGTCTGATATCAAAATACTCTTCAGATCTCCAACCCCTTTCAGCTTTGTTGACTGCAACGCATTTCTTTCTCTTGGGCTGGTTTCACTCTGTTAGCAGCTCTCCTCAGGAGGTATGCCATGGCTCTGGCATCTCCAACATTTCGGGGTCTCCAAGGCAATCCAGGCTTCACCTTCACAGCTTTACACAAAGGCCTCTCTAGGCCTCCATCCAGGGACAACCCTGACGCTTTCCTCAGTAGCTTTCCTTAGTCACGAAGGGAGATTCCATAATCCCTTTCTTCTATCCTTAAAAGCCAGAACTATGTGGCTGAAGCTGCCAAGTTTTGCTGCTTGTTGGAGCTGGAACATGGCCCCTGGTTAATATACTTTTCACCAGCTCTCTGTTTTTGATGATTTCTTTCACTGCCTACACTTGGCTGTCCTGGAATTTGCTCTGTAGACCAGGCTGGGCTTGAATTCTGAAATGTGACATGCACTACTTGATCTAAACTTTTCTTTAATTCCTTTTCACAAATTGGAAGCTTAGCTGGGTGGGGGTCTTGCTCTGAGGTTACCACTCCCTTTATTTCACTTAGCATCAGGCTTTTTAGAAATCTGTCTACATTTCCTGGTGACCCCTTTGTCCTCAAACTGTATATTTTGTATTTTTCCTTGATCCGCTCGCTCCTTTTCATTATAAATCTGTGTAAGTGTGGCCGCTAATAATTAAGCAACACAGTCAATACTAGGCAGTCAGGAAACCTCTTGTGCCAAAGCTGTTAATCCTTAACTCTTAAGTTTAGCCTCAGGATGATTTCCTTTTGGACAAGGGCAAAAAGCAGCCACATTCTTTGTCAACATAATACAAGAACATTCTCTAGGCCATATACTGAAATTCTTCTCCTCTGAACCCTCTTAAACCAGGCCCTCACAGTTCAAATCTCCTTCAGCACCACTGTGCTTCTACTAGGATGGCCCATTAAGTCAACTGTTTCTAATCCAAAGTTGCAAAGTTTACATTCCTCCAAACAAAATCATAATCAAGTCTATAACAGCAATACCCAAATCCCTGGTACCAATCTCTGTCTTAGAGTTTCTATTACTGTGAAGAGACACCATGACCATGGCAACTCTAATAAAGGAAAACATTTATTTGGGGCTCGCTTATAGTCATCATGGCAGGAAACATGGTAGCATGCAGGCAGGCATGGTGCTGGGAAGGTGGCTGAGAATTCTACATCTGGATAACCAGGCCGCAGTTAGGGAGTGCCACACTGGGCCTAGTATGAGCTTCTGAAACTTAAAAAGCTGACTTCCTCCAATAAGACCACACCTATTCCAACAAGGCCTTGCCTCCTAATAGTGCCTAGGGGGGCATTTTCATTCAAAGCATGCCACCACACACTTTTTGTGCAAGCTTGTCTGGAATAACATAGAATCACCCAGTGGCCTCTATCAGCTTCCAGGGCTCAAGAGTAGAGCAGGTCTACTAAAAAGAAAAGGAAATAAAATACAAAAACACAGGAAGCTAGGCACGGGCACGATGGCACATACCTATGATCCCAGCACTTGGGAGGTTAAGGTCAAGGAGTTCAAGGTTATGAACATGGCAAGTGGGAAGCTAGCCAGACCCTGTCTCTAATAAAATGTGGCAAAGCAAATAAAGCCCTTCTGGAAAAATGAACACACAGATCCCATCTACAGGGGAAACAAAAGGCAAGTTCAAGAATTCACCTTCTTTTTTCTGATCACTCCAAAACAAAGGAGATCATGGTCTGTCATGCTCCAGGTATTTGATGATGTTCCAGGGGTGCTGGAAGAGAGATATGGACCAACCTACACAGGTGACAAACTACCTTAGGAAAAGAAGGATGCTGAGATAAAGGAAAACACAGGAAGGACATGCTGCCCACAGGCTATAGAGAAACCTGATGTAGCGGAGACTTGCCCAGCTGAGAAGAGTAACAAACAAGAAAGGTGAACAGGCAGAAGAGAGAGTTGATTCTGGCCATATGTTTTTCTCATGAATTTCCTTGCACATAATGTATCCCTTTTGGAGAAAAAAAAATGTAAAGCTTCCAGGAACACACATATTTGTAGCTTTGCTGTGATAAAACACCATGACCAATGGCAACTTAAGAGGGTTTATTCTGGCTCACCATTCCAGGGGAGTAAGAGCCCACCATGGTGGCAGGAGCAGGGAGCAGGAGATGGCATCTTTAACCACAACCACACAGCAGAGAGCGAAACTGAAGTAGGATAAGGTTTACACAGATCTCGCTTGCCAGGGATGAACATCCTTCAGGAAGGCTGCATCTTCCCATAACCTCTCCAAACAGCGCCACCAACCTGGGACAAGTACTCAAATGCCTGAGCCTATGGAGTACATTTCTCATTCAAACCACCACACTATACCCTGACCTGACAGTCCAGATGAACTCCTAACTTCACAGCAGGCTCTTGTCCATGCACAGCCGTGTTGTCAATCATCTCAGGTGAAGCTTCTATGGAATGATCATTCTGTGACTTGGACAACACCTTGTAATCATCCAAAATAAAGGTGGCAACTGTTTTGATGACATTCTAGACCAATGGTTCTCAACCTGTGGGTCACAACCCCTTTGGGTGTCACATGACCCTTTCACATGGGTTGCTTAAGACCACTGGAAAACACAGATATTACGATGCATAACAGTAACAAAATTAGTTATGAAAATAATTTAATGGCTGGGGTCCCCACAATGTAAGAAACTGTATTAAAGGGTCAAAGCATTAGTAGGGTTGAAAATCACTGTTCTAGACAGTTTGGCAGTGTGGGTATGTGTGTGTATATAATATATGCAATATATTACATATAATGTGAAAAAATATATAAATATATATTTAAAAAATCATTTTACTAAAATAAAGTTTACATGATAGTCACATTACAGTATTATATGGGGAAAAAGTTAGCAAAATGGAACAGTGAGGCTGGGTGGACAAATACACAAACAAACAAAGTAGCACAGTGCAAAAATTAGGCAAATATTTCATAAGCCAGGAAAGATAAAAATCACAACATCTACAGTTTCTTGGTTTGAGGATTAGGATGTTTTACTTATCTGTATTAATCATCGTTTTAGAAGTGAAAATGTTTTTCTTAAATGATAAAAATAAGAGAGAGAGAGAGAGAGAGAGAGAGAGAGAGAGAGAGAGAGAGAGAGCAGTAGATGTGGGGATCCTGGAAAGGAAGGGATGTGTGGCTACTGTGAGCGAGGATGCTGGTCCTTACTGGCCGGACCAGAAAATGGGTGCTGGATAGGGCAAGAGAGGCAGTTTCCTGTCCGCTGTGGTGTCTGTCAGGTGAGGATGCCAGTGGGTGGTCCCTGCCAGTGGAGCTACATACTGAGGAAATGAAGCAAAAAATGCAGGGACTCTAAAGATGCGGTCCATTGCCCCTGGGCCAGCAGCCAACAAGACTGAGTCTACCTCCCTCTCTCCTTGTGCTGCCTGGATGGCTGGATTTCATCTACCTTGTAAATCACAGCAGAGACCCCCCCCCCCATCTTCTCTCTCAGGTTCCCTGACAGGAGTGGGTACCTCTGCAGTGAGTGACTCATAGCTACTGTGCCTGGGGTAGAAAGGGGGACTGTGAAGCCAAGACACAGGAGCTCAGGCCTGCTTTACACACTTAGCCTCACCAAACATTCTGCTGGCACACATGTCCCAGTGGGCAACGGTTCTCACAGTCAATCCTGAAGACACACCTGCATCTGATCCCCAGCACACCATCTCTAAGCCTCCACATGTGCACCACAGTGTGCACCCAAACATGTCCTCTGACCTCAATCACACACCAATACATACCGCAATGAAAATTAAATACATAGTACTCCCTGTGAATGTGACTGTACCTGGAAACGGCCTTTGCAGTTGGAACTGTGGATCTTAAGATGAGATCACCCTGGATAGGCAATAGGCTCTAAGTCTAATAATAATAGTATTTTTATAAAGGTTTGGATATGGTGGCATAGACCTGTAAACCCAGCTGAGGCTGAGGCAGGAGGATTGTAAATTCAAGGGTTTTCTGGACTTCAGAATGAGTCCAAGGCCAGTCTGAGCAACCTTGCCTCGAAATAAGAAAAGAGGCCTGGAGGGACAGCTCAGCCAGCAGTGAGAGCACTTGCTACAAGGGGGTGTTTGAGACACAGAAGTACAAAAGGTTGAGAAGGCGGTGTAAACTGAGAGGATGGAGCCTTGCTGGGATAAGGAAAGGTGGGAGACGGCTTGTCCTTGCCTGCCCCAACCTCATCTTGATTTGGAAATTTCTGCAGCTCTAGCTGCTATGTTTGTGGGAAATTGTGACAGCAGCCCAGAAAACCAACTACCTTCCACCTCCTCTTCATCTCCCCATCTTATCCTTTACCCTAGGCCTCCTTGCAGAGTGCAGCTCTCAGGTCACAGGTCCAGATTGGGACATCAAGGAACCTGGCAGTAGTCAGGAAGCTAAGTGGCTAATTACCTGCCTTCCACCACATGTCCACAGCCCTTTCCTAATCGTATATAGAGGAGTAGGCCGTGTTTCAGGGTTGGTCACTCACCAAGGGGTGGAAAACAAAGCCTGACAGCTTGCAACTTCCTTCGCACAATAATAAAAGAAAACAGAATTTTGCCTAATGGCCGAGGCTTTGTAAAAATGAAATCTAAGCTAATCCAATAGATCCACTTAATTATTTAAGCCCAAGTCAATATTTCTCATTTGCTTCCTCCTACAAACCCAGACATGATAATGAAGGAAATGCTATTTAAAAATCAATGGACAGAGAAAAAGGGACCCGGGCAGGGAACAGACATGATATGACTCGATGAAAGCAAGAAAGGAAATAATTCACGGTCACGCTCACTGCCAAGGCTCAAAGAAAAAAATTTATTTACAATAGAGAATTTCATTTGAAACATGCATTAAAAAAAAAAAAAAAACAAACCAGCAAATGTGGATCAATTGTACACTCTTTAAGGCAAGAGTCCCTATGCAGGTTGTGTATGTTCATGTCACATCAGATGCTGCTCGCCAAAGGACAAGGCCAAGGTCAGCAATTTGCCTTTTTATTAGAGAATCTGACAATCTCCCTGATACAGGAACTCTGAGGTCAACTTGCTATGAATTATACTAGAAAATGCAAACGGATAGCAAGGAATCCTGGTAGGTCTCGGCACTGCATACGGTCAAACCACCTTATTTAGAAAGGGAACACAGTAGTGCATATAAAGTGAAAAGAGAACCTGTCCACGGAATCGGAAGGACAACAGTGTGCCGACGGTCGTATTGCACGCAATGGCCAAGTCCAAGCACTTGGTTCAAAGTTAGCTTTTCCCCATTTTGGCAATCAGTTCGTCACAAATCTTTGTGAGTTCTTCTATTTCTTTATTCTGAAAATGTAAGACAAGAGAGGTGTTCTGAAATAACATATACACAAGCAACAAAAATGTACGTACATAAAAAGAAAGAAAGAAAGCCAGGTGTGGTGGCACATGCCTTTAATCCCAGCACTTGCCAAGCAGAAGCAAGTGGATTTCTATGAGTTTGAGACCAGCCTGATCTACACAGTGAGTCCCAGGTCATCAAGGGTACAGTGGGACCTTGCTTCAACAACTATTACTGTTCTTACTAGTCAATCAGAAATAACACTGGTCTCCTTGTGGGGGAGAAAAATCTCCCCAACCTCTTGGTCTCCCCTAAGGTTACCTAAAGTAATTAGAGGAAATGACTGGAGGCAAACAAAGTTTACATCCTAGCTGTGACTGGGTGAGCTTGGGCAAGTTGCACAGCCACTCTGAACTCTGGCTTCCTTATCTTTAAAATGTAGGTGAGAATGAAGTGAGGTAAGAAATATGAAGTCGTGTAAACGTAAAGACACAGTGAGCAGACCACAGAGGAGGGTTACCTAGTATAGTCCTTGTCCCTGAAGGCTGAGGTCTGGGGTGAGAAAGAGCTGGCCTAAGCTAGGTTCATGGCTTTCCTGACAAAGGCCCAAGAATTCAGAGAAATGCTAGAGTTATTTAGAAGATGCCCAGCAGATGGCATGGTGGATACAGATGTCCTGGAGGAGCAAGGCAAAGGTAGGCAACTTCTCTTGCAGAAGCTGCCCTTTGCCTATTCTTGAAGCCCAATCAAAGGCAGCTACCCACATGGGCACAGATAACTGGGCAGCAGTTCCTGTCCTGTAGGAAGGGGATCCAGCTGGGAAACAGCCAGAAGATATGGCTCTATTTACTGATGGTTGAGATGCCAGCAGCCCAAGCCTGCCTTTGTTCATGCACAGGTGTGCAGCGGCCCGCCCTGAGGAAGGAAGACCTGCGTCTCATGTAGGTTTTCTTTGAGATGTTGAAGAAGGCTAGCCTCTACCAGTCCCTTTCCTAGAACCTTCTGCAACATGTTCCAGCTCAGTCCGTCCCTGGGTTAGGACTCCAGCACTCCACACACAGTTCCCATGCAGGGGAGAAACCTGAGCTGTCATGGGGGGAAAGCAATGTCTCTCACCAGCTTCACCACAGCCACCTCCTGCCCAAAAGTAAATTTTAGGCCCGAGCCCACACAGGTGCTAAAGGCCCTGATCACTACTCCCCTCCGATGGCCATGAATGCCTACCTTCATCTTGTGAATACCACATGCCAAACCCCAAGCTAAATCCATCCCAGATACTGTGACCTCCCTCAGTTCTTAAACTGACCCGTAAGAGGAAGCCACTGTTAGGCCATTTTTTCTTTGAGGAAACTGAGACTTATGGCGGTTAAGTGCTATGCACAAGATTACATAGCCAGCCAAACAGGAACAGATGTGGCCAGCCTGGAACACAAATTCAAGTTGTGCTTGCAACTACCCGGCTTCATTCTCTATTAAACTTAGTTTGCAGCAGCTCACAGTGGGAGCATGGACCCACTGGAGACCCATACATAGAGGATGACTTGTAACCCAGCACCATCAGCCTCCACTGGACAAATTGCCCCATCGTGGAGCCCAACATCTTCACACCAACCTGCCCTGGTGAATGTATTTCTGAGTCTCTTTAAGACAAGCCATGCTTGTTGTATGTATCTACTGTCCTTCAAGGGTGAACACCATGATTAATTCCTTTCTCTGGAAGCTTAATTAAAAATGAAATTATGTTTGCAGACACATTTTGATCTTTGCTATTATTCAAAGCCATGTGACCCAACTTGTTTGCATCTGTGTATTTCAATCTACCAGAAAACACAGCATCACCTTCCTTGATGGGGCCAAGGGCTTTGGAAACATCAGCCCTGGCTCCTGCTTCAAGGACTAACACAGTGTGGCCATTTAAACACATCTCAAGGCTTCTATAAGTGGAAGCACTGACAACTTCCCAGATGCACAGACTAACTAGGGGATGTGGTCTTTATTTTAGTGGAACATTCCATTTCAATAAAAACAAACACAGACTCGACAGTAACCACATAATGATGCTTGGTGACTTCAGTGGGTGAACAAATGCTGGGGTTTGTAGCTATGTCTTGTCTCTACGGTGACAGCTATGAACTATTAGCAGAGCCCAGAAGTCACAGGCAGCTGCAGTAGCTGGCATGACACTGATCTAACCTTTTCTTTCCAAAACATAATTCTTGTGGTTGACTGATCAGCATTTACTCTTGTGAATCCTCAGAGGACAGGGCTAAACATGATTTTACAAGTCTTTTCTTTCTTTCTTTCTTTTTTCTTTTTAAAGTGGGCTGGGGTTAGTATCACACTTGACATCAGGGTTATTCTCTCATCTAAAGTATTTTCAGGGCTAACGGAAGGGAGGAGAGTGAGGGTCACCAGGGCCAGGCGATCAGTGAGCATATGGTCAGCTGACCTGTTTCATTGCCAGGCTTCCTCTCATAGCACCTAGCAGGAGAGAGCCAGTTCCTACCAGGGCAAAGGTTACTGAAACACAGCCTAGACAGCTGTCCCCTCTGGAACACATGGAACTGGAGTGTTTGTGGGATGGCAGATGTCTTCACTGGGATGTCCCGGGAAATAGTGAACGCAGTAGACTTAGTACCACACTGGAAGTTAGGAAACCTAGGTACAGGCTGAGTGGCCTCAGGAGGTTCACCACTGATCACATACCTGGAGGACATCTGAATGTGCCTGGCCCTGACACTGCCCATCCTTCGTCAGCGGACCAGTGGATTGGTTCCTCACCCACTCCCCAGTAAGAATGATAGCTGAAAAGGTTCAAGGGCAATGTCTGGCATGCCAATAGTATCTGACAAATGATGTTGTGGAGGAATGAGAAATGGAAAATCATCATATGGGCTGCCATTCCAGGATAGGCAAGAAGAAAAAAATGAACCTAATGTATGGTCGTGAGGCATGATTTATATGGAGCTGCTCTGGCTTTGCTTTGGAGCCCTGCTCCCAGACTCCCAGTCTCCCTGGCTTTCATTACCAGATGGACAGGCAAGAGCTAGAGAGTGGCCTCACGGCTAAGGGTGCCTGACCCTCACTCTCTTACCTTCTGCTCCAGCGTTCTCTCTAGAGCGTCCACTCGCAGCTGCTCCTTCCGAAGGCTAGCCTGGTAGGCTGCTTGTTCCTGCTGGGCCTTGCCTCGAACCTGGGCAATCTCTGCATTGGCCCTGTTGGGACAAGGAGCACTGTAGGTGGCTTCATGGATACCTCCCTCCCCCCCAAGTCTGAATAGTGACATAGGACTGGATCCAGCCACACTAACTAAAGCCTAAACACAAGAACCCCACCCCTGTCGTGATGTGTAAGGGTGCCTACGACATTACAACATAATCCTTCACTTATCTCAGTGGGTGGTGGTTAAGTGAGATCTTAGCCCAAGTCATAAAGATAAGCTACCCTCTGCAAGCCAATGTCAGAGTGTCATGGGAGCTCCTAGCCTGCATGAGTGGTGAGTTACCTGTCCAGTTTCTCTTCTGCGTGAACCTTCAGGGCCTGGTACCTCTGTTCCTCTTTCTTCACTCGGGACAGGTACTCCTGTGCACATTTCTTCAGCACCTCTTCATTCTGGTATGACAGGACCACAAGGAGAAATATGAGGGGCATACCAGAACGTGCCTAACAGCCGAATCTGACTCCTTGACCTCAACAGAGCTCTAGTTCGCATGGCTCAGGATGGGCTTCCTGGGTTCTCGCTCCCACCTTGCTTCCTCAACCCCAGCCAGACTCCCGCTCTGCAGACACACCTTGCGGAAGCCTTCCAGGACCTCCTTCATCTTCTCGTATCTCCTGAAGAGGTCAGCCAGAGACTTTTCCACAGAGTTCAGGTCAGCCAGGGCTTGCTCCTTCTCTAGGACCAGCTGCTGCACGGTTTGGTGGGAGACCGATTTCTCTCTCTGTTCATCCTCTGGCAGGAGAGATAGAAGTCAGACAACGGGGCCCATTCAATTCAAACTAGGTCTGCTCAAGTGCAACGTGAACATTTCCTTGGAATGAACCCATGAGCCCTCCCTCCTAGAGGGTTCCAATGGGACAGAACTCACAGACCTGATACCATGATGTATCGTGTAGGGTGGAAGTCATTCTTTAACCTGAACAGTGCAGCCCCTTGCACACGTACACTGGAGACCCCGTGAGTCTACTTACTTTTCCCTCACTAAGCAGATCCACACTAGGTCAGAAGGAAAACATTGCTACTGTATTTTCTGGGAAGATTAGATTGAAGGTGTTGTGGTAGGCCCTAGGGTTAACTCTTCCTAAATGGTATCAAGACAGAAGTCAAAGGGAATAAAAGAGGTTTCTCTGTCCCTAAAACACCCTAAAGGCCTGGAAATCTGTTCACAGCAACACTGAATTCTTGGCTATAGAAAAAACCACACTCTAGGCAAACAGAGACTGTATCTGCAAAGTTCATTTCTCAGCAAGGCAGAGCAGTTCAAGTTGGTACTGGTACTAACCCGAGCAACAGCCCTGCTCTCACCCGTCTCTCTGACCCTCAGCCATCCCACAGTGACCTCAGATGTCTCTACATTATAACTTCCAACTGGGTACCAACCACTAGCCTGAATACTGATGGAGTAAGCAAGGCACACCTCACTTTCCTGGTGACACCAGAATTTATGACATCTTCTAGTTCTCATCCCCAGCACCTAGAGTTCCTGGGGGAAAAAATAGGCCCAGCAGATCTTCATCACTCCTGGGTCACCTAGGAGGATGCTATCTATTGCCCAGGACTGGCTTAGCGCTGGCTGCTACGGAGGAAATTACATCTGGAACTGCTAACAGTGACAGCAGTGGCAGCTGCCAGCCCCAACTGCAAACAAGGCCATCTCACTCTGCTCAGAGTCTGCCCATAGAGACCTCCCCTTGTATTGAGAATAAAACCTAGGCTACACCCCACAATACACTTCAGCCCTGACAGCCCCACTACTGCAGATAGCTCCTGCCCCAGAGCTCAGGAGCCCTTGGAAACTCCCAAGGCTCCCCCATTCACTGTCTCTGACTCCTCACCACTTCCTTTCCATCTGTCATGTGATGTGCATGCGTCTGTGTGTGCATGCGTGGTTGGAGCAGTTCTGGTTGTGTTGTATTCTAACTTTCCCTGACCCCAGGGCTTCCTGCTGCTTCTTATGATGGTAATTTTGTCAGGTTTGTCAGACTAAGAAATGCACAGCTTAGCACAGCATATGCTTGTGGCTATGAATTTGTCTGAAGGGCACTTGGATCACTAGGACTGTGACCTTTGTAAATGCATTCATAACATGAGGGTGTTACCAAGAGGTGGCAGAAAGTAGGAGGCGGGCAAGGCTGGAGCAAGTAGGTCACTGGGGGTCAAGTCCTTGGGGCTGGTTTTGCCCTGGCTTCTTCCTGTATCTCTCTTCTCTACTTTCTATCTGTCAAAATTTGAACTGCATGCCTTCGCCACCATGATGCATAGATTGTTCTGACACTGTTTGGCAAACATCAGAATCTCCCTTCAGTTGAACTTGTCAGGTGTTTGGGAAAAGCAATGACAAAAGTAACACGGTCCCTCAAAGTAACCTGGCCACTCTCCTTGGGGACTGAGGAGGGTCTGTTTGGTTCACTGCTCTGGGCACACAAAACACCTCTGTACAAGCGATGTTGCCACATGATCCATGCAGTACATAAACAAGGGTGGCTGCACAGTTTTCTTGTCCCCATCTTACAGAAGGTGAAAGGGGGTTTGAACAGCAAAGTTATTTGTTCACTGAGGAGCAGCATAGCTCAGGCTCAGATAACAAAGACAAAAGACAACCACGACTGAATTCCACTGGCCCTGGACAGCTCCCTGCAATGATGGACCTGGATGGTTCCCACCAGGAACAGCAGGAGGTTCGGATTTGGGTTATTTTCCCACCCGTTTCTGACAGACCAGCATCTTGCTATGTCATTGCTGTGGGGCATGGTGGGGTCACAGCCTGAATTTTAACTCCAAGCCTGACAGAAACATTTTGTGCTATTTTGTGGTCCCAAAGCCCTGTGTACAAAGTGGCTGTCAGATGTGAACATGCATTAAAACCAGCTGCACAGCCAGCCATTCACATAACATACATGTCCATCCTGCTTTTGGACTCAGCAGGTCAGAGTGGGGCTAGGAATCTGCACAAGTAACAGATTCATATGTAGCTGGCCCAGGGCCCTGCCTGGAAAACCACCGGCCTAGGAAATACCTAATGTCCCTCCATCCCGCCTCTCTGATCCCAGGGTCCTTACTATTCTCAGCAGCAGCCAGAAGCCACCAAGGGCAGTGGCTCTGGAATCTAACAGACCAGCTGAATCTCAACTGTGATACTTCTCTCTACTGTGTGACGTTGGGTGGGGCTTCCAAACTCACGGAATCCTCTCCCCAGAACCAGGGGTGGCAGTGTTTCTAGGCCACAGCATTTGGGGAGATTAAAAAAGGGAATGCATACAAAGGTCTTGGCACCCAGGAACTATCTGGAATCAGCAACTTGTTATCAATAGCATCACTGTCCCTAGAAAGCCTTAACATCACCCCTGACTTGGTGGGACAGTGTATCACTATGGCCCGGAAGCATTGCCTTTTAAATACAGAGAACTTGCTACATCTACACTCCTAAGAGAGAGAGAGCATTTGCAAATTTCACTAGTTTTTATTACCCAGATTTTAGCCATTTCCCTTATCCCCAGCATGCCATACAATGTACACTCTGAGCTGATTTGTGGTCACGTATACATTTCACCATACAGGCTGAAGGAGCCATTTATCAAACAGAGTCTATCCGATTTCCTGCATCTAAGATGTCGCCTAGCCTCAGCTTTCCTTTTATCACTTTTAAAAATAGACTTGCCCAGTTCCCAGGAGAGCCAGGCAATGGCAATGCAGGACAAATCTTCTGCATGACCAGTTTAGGCTCTTAAAGTCAGGAAATCAGCACCAGTCCAAGGCACGCTGCACTCGAAACCCTGATAGGTTTTCTGGCATTTTGCAGGCAAATCACTATTAAATCGGATGAGGAATGCAGCAAGTACACAAAAGCAAAAATAACTAAGCCAGAAAAACAAAACACAAAGGGTCGCCAATGGGTAGGGATCAGATGGGGTGGGGGTGGGGAGCATTTACTTACCAGGCTTGCCTGTTTGTTTTGCAAGCAAAGGGCAAGAAGCAACAGAAAATGGAAGCAAAACAGATAATCAGGGCAGTTGTTAGGAAAGCAGAAACAAAAAATTGCAACAATCTGGAATGCAGAAAGCACAGAGGTTCCTTTTTGTCCTAAATTGCAAGGGGTTTTAATAAGGCACACTTTCTTCAGAGGAACTGTTGGGAGAGATGATGAGCTGTGAAACATCAGAAACCTCCATTGGAGGAAGGGCTAGCATAACTCAGAAGAACCAGGGTCTGCCTCAGAACACTTCTACATCCACTCTGGTCCTAAGCTGCCAAGCTCTCAGGCCCGGTTCTCCTTGCTGGGCAGTTGCAATGGATGGAAACACAGGATCCAGATGAGGCTGTTTGTTTCTATAAGTGAAGAGGTTCACTTTCCTAGAAGGCAGGCAGGTACACCCACCTTCCCAGTCATGTCACAGGCTGTTTATATGGACCATGATATATCTGGTGGCCTCACCCAGTGACCCTCCATAGCAACTGACATACAATTTTTTCTCGATTAGAAAAGCTTTGGAAAAGTGCACGAGGAAGAGGCTGGCGAGTAAGGTTAGTGACTACACACACAGTAGGGCTGTTATCTGAGTGATGATGCTCCCAGCTAGGGATGTTGCAATAGTCTCCTTGAGGCATTCTGGGGGTTCTCTTAAACAGGAAACTATTCAGAGAGTCTAAATAGGAAATACAGCATGCCTCTGATACCCACTCCTCTGACCAAAATGTTCTAACTTCTGTCAGCTGCAATTTATCTGAGAAGCAACCATCTGCGCCATCTCTACTGCCATAGTGGCAGGCTACCCTGACAGGTCAACCAGAGAAGTCCCTCATGCTTGGAGGCCTCCAGGGGGAACTCCTGCTTCTCTCAAAGTCCCTAGCTGTGTACTACCAGATGGCTGTGGCAGCATTCTCTCAGGAGCCAAAGCTAAAACCTTTCTCCCTCAACACCATACCAGCATCTGCCCCAGACACCTCAAGGACACTCACATCCCAAGATACCGGAGCTCAAAGGTCTGGCAACCCTTTCCATGCTTAGAAATGTATATACTTCCTGTCTGGTGCCTTTGCAAATACTTAACAATTCCCAAAGCTTTCAAGTGTTTATCCCATCCCTAAGCTCACAAATTTTGTTCTGATGTGATTCATTCACCATAGGGTCCATGTGGCTGAATGTGGGGCAGATAGCTCCAAATGAAAGCCTTTGTTAATGTAAGTCACAATTAACGCTCCTGAGAGTGCAAGCCATTCAGCCCCCAGCCTTCTTGCTATTTCAGAGGCTACTGTGATGTTTACCTTGGGATAAGTTACAGATGGGTGGAACTCAAAGAGATCCTAGGGGATCTGCTCATGCACATCCAGGCTGAGCCCTGGGTTGGCAGTGACTTGCATGTTTATCTCACAAATCCTTAGGTAGGCAAAATTATTTTTAAAAATTGATTATCATGAACTTAACCAAATAAACAGATAGCTAGACATAAATCAATATGAAGACCAGTTCCCCAAGACTGCTACCATAAAAACCTGAACTTTGGAATGTCTCCAAGACAGCTTTTCATTATAGAGAGGAAGGGAGGGAGGGAGGGGAGGAGGAAGGGAGGGAGGGAGGGAAGGAGGAAAGTAGGTAGGTTGGCTGGTCATTGTGTGTCACTTGCTAATGTGAGGCTTTCTTTCTTTGTAGGCCTAAGCAATCTGTCTGCTCTGGCTGTCAGGGATACAGTGTTCTGATGGAGGTATCATATCAGGTAGAGCTGGGATTGGCTAATAGGGTCTGCTAGCCACAGAGGAGGGGTAATGGGTAGTAAGTTGCCACATGTTCCATCCTGGCCCTAAATCCATTGGTTAAATAAAGTATATGGATATTTAGTCATTTGACTCTAAACTAAATTAGAGTTTAGGGGGTTTAATTCTATGCTTTTCTGCAAGCAAAATCCAAAACCCTCACACATCCCAGTGGCCAAACTCAAGCCTTCTCCCAACATCGTGGATCACCCTGACTGGGCAAACACTGAGGGCAGGGAGACATTGGGTAGTGTGAAGTACATTCTTGTGGGTATCTTCAGGGTACAGCCATATGTAGGTCTGCTCTGGTCCTTGCTCTTAGAGGAACAGACTCTGACTGAGCCTTGTCACCCAAGCCCCACCCCATAATTATACTCCCTACTGACACACACACACACACACACACACACACACACACACACACACACACACACACAGAGTTTGGGCTTGAGCACTCCAGTCACAACACTCACCGATCATCTGTGCAATGGTCTTTTCATATTCAGCCACAATTTTCCTGGAAGAAAAGTAAAGGCATGCTGAACTATAGTAACAGGATCATCTCCACCCCACAGCTGGACAGTATAAGGCTCGCACCCTTGTAATCATCAAAGGTTTGTCTTCCTGGCACACAACCCTTAATCCAGCACACTATTCAACCCCTGCAGCATCTCCACTGTCCACTATGTGAAACAAAAGGCCACATCTCCCACCTAATGGCTGACACACCCAGGTCTCACTCACAGGCCTACCACCTTCTAGCCAGTTCATGGACACAGGGACTCAACATGGACAGCCAATTTTTTCCTTGATCTAGGCTTTCTCATTCCAAGTGTAGCCCAGGTTGTTAGTTTACTTCCTCCTTCTGTTTCTACCTCACAGAACCTGTTTCTCAAGTTCTTTCTTGATTTCTCTTGGAGTTCCCTAACATTCTCTCTGTATCGTCTCCTCTGATGGAGTGGACATTCTTCTGAGTATCCAAGATGCTACTTCTTATTCCCTTGCATTTTTAAACTAAAAATCACTATTTTTTTTTTCTTGTGGGGTGGGTTGGTGATACAGGGTTTCCCTATAACCTTGCCTGGCCTGGAACTCATTCCATAGACCAGGCTGGCCCTGAACTCAACAGAGATCCACCTGCCTCTGCCTCTCAAGTGCCGGGATTAAAGGCATGCTCCATCGTGCCTGGCAACTTTCCCAGATGAAAGTAGGGGGATGTCAAGCAGACCTCTACAAGAGCAGTTGTCCCCGGATTCAGGGTTTGCCTGTTCAATGTAGTCATCAGGAAATTGGCAGTGGGAAGCAGTGGGAGGTACTGGAAATTGTGGGAAGCAGAGCTAGAATGAAGTTTCAGAAAGAAGTGGTGGTGGTCTGGAAAACAGGCTATGGTCATCTAGGTTAGCGGTTCTCAGCCTGTGGGTCACAACTCATAATATATCAACTATACGATTCAGAACAGTAGTAAAATTATAGTTATGAAGTAGCAATGAAATAATTTTCAGGAAGGTTGAAAACCACTGTTCTAGGTGTTTTGCTTGCTGCTCGAAAGATACACAGGAATACAAGCTGCCTGGAGCTGGAGGACACTGTTTCACTGTCTACATATTTATCTGACTCGATTCTTTTTCTCATGCATAGTGTTATTCTCAAAACACTTGTAGAAGCTGAAGAGACAGCTCAGCAGTTAGGAGCTTACGTTGTTCCAGAAGACCCAAGTTCAGTTTCCAGAACCCATGCTGGGTGGTTCTCAACCATGCTCCAATTTGGGGGGAAGGAGGGAATTTGAAGCCTCTGGCTTCCAAGGGCATCTGCAGTCATGTGCACAAACTCCACACAGGGACACACATAATTAAGAATAATGAGTTGGGCATTGGTGGTGTACACCTTTAATCCTAGTCCTTGGGAAGCAGAAGTAGGTGGATCTTTGGGAGTTCTAGGCCAGCGTGTTCTACAGAGTGAGTTCCAGGACAGCCAGGACTATTACAGGAAGACACCATGTCTCAAAAAAAAAAAAAAAAAAAAAAAAAAAAAAAAAACATATAAAAAGAAAATCTCCTAAAAGTATGAGCGTTGAATAATAATGAAGAATGAACATCTTCTAGAGAAGACCCTGCTGGGAGTGGGGTATCTATCTCAGCAGGGACTGCCATGAAGCCAGACAGTGCTCCAGGCAGCAGCAAGGCGGAGCTCCACTGACCTCATCTCCATCACTTCCCGCCTGCTTTCTTCATATTTGTCCCTCCACTCTGAGGCTTCTCTTTCCTTGGAGATAACCTAGGGTCCGGGAGAAATGCAGAGCCCAAATGAGTGCATTCAGTTCTGATAAATCAGGCACACATCATATACACAGGGATTAAAAACTCCTCACACCAAACCAGGATTCCATCCAGGGATTCTCCAAGCAGGAGAAATAAAGACTTGGGGAGCAACCATGATGAGGTATCGTCTACAGCATGTCAGCCATGCCTGTTGGCAGAGCAGAACCATGGTGTGCCACCCAGCTAGCTTGCAGTGTTTAGAGGATGGTCTGTTTCCAAAGAGGAGCATCATGGGTAAATATGGTTATTGACAACTGGCAGACTCGGGCCCTATCCCGGTGTCAAGAATATGACATGACAGGTCTCATACCTCTGCTCTGGCAACTTGGAGTGCAGAGTCGAGGTCTGGCTGCTGGAACAGAAGGCCGGGGGGTTTCTCCACCTCGGTGGGCCCGATGCGGGAGTACAAGGCAGTTTTGGAGATGGAGACATCTGGTGGGTGAGCAGCTTCCCTCTGTGGATTTTTTTTTTCATTAAAGAGAGGAAGAAACAGAACAGTCACACTAATGGCACGACAGACAGGGTTGCACGCATGGCCTTGAGAACATATTCACCGCTCAGCTATATGGTTTTGAAACAAAGAACATCGAAGGGATGAGAAAATGCAAAGACTCATGGATGGGGGTAATGCCAGGTCCAGGGGATGGAAAGCCTTCATGTTGCACATGTGCAGGCGCACAAAGGAGCTAACGAGATGGCAGCCTCTGTAACTAGGAACCCTGGGGGCACGGCCTGTCTGTGACCGGCTTACCACTGCCATTTATCAGGTGCTGAGCCCACTAGGCACTGTAGGTAAAGACCAGTCATTATTCTGTTGGCCCCACTTCCAAAATAAAGTCTTGCTAGGGACCAATTTGAATGCTGGTCTACACTGCCTAATTGTGAATAGCTGACATTAGATGATTTTTGTGACCTGACCACATTTAAATTTGGTGGTGCTCACGTGGCTCAGTTTAAAACGACGTGATCTGCACAAAATTTGAAGCCTACTATTATTAGCCCTGTCATTTCTGACTGGGTTTGAGAGATGTTGCCATTAGATCTGCTATATAATAGCAAAGAGGAAAGCTGGGGGGGGGGGGTCAAGGACGATATCTACCTACATTTCCTGATGAAGCCAAGCAATGTGATGTCCTACCCCACCCCACTCATAACCATTTTCAGCTTTCTCGAGTTCCGTAGGGGTCAGTCATCAGCCACAGTGAGGCAACAAGGGGTACATGGCTACTCTTCCTTTACGTAGGACATTAAGCAACTTGCAACACAGCTGAAACACAGTGTTAGGAGCATTGTCAACCAGCATGGCCAGGCTTGTCAGCCTATTTCACAGCAACAAAAACATCCAACCAACCACTCTCAGTCCTATGCATTCACCTCCTGGAGCTGTCACGGCTGCCAAGGAAGCTTCCACCCTAGTTAGAATACAGGTCAATGGTGCAGTGTGAGGTGACGATGGCCTGATGGGCAGCAGGACTGCTCCATCCATGGAGAATTAGGAGAGCAAAATGAGTACTGAGCAGAACACCTCAGTTTTAGAGAAAGGGGAGAGCAGACAGGATTGAGAAATGCACAGAGAAGACAAAAGCTTCAGTGGGCATGGGAAGAGGTGGATCTGAAGGCCCAGGAGCAGAATGTTAATAAACACAGGAATTGCCAGCCCTGCCTCTCCTCACTATAGTACCAGGGCTAAGGGCCTAAAGAACGGAGGTAGAAAATGCAGGTAGAAGAGCAATGGATAGGACTGGAGATGACAATTTAGAACCATTAGTATTCACATGCAAGGTGCACACAATAGTTTAGTTGTCCTGGAAGAAAACTTCTGGAACCTTTTCATTGGCCCTGCCTGCCCTTGAGATCTTGAGCTAACCCTCAAGTAACTCTCGGACCTGGCCTACCCTCAAGACTTTGTTTGGGCTTACCCTCAAATGGCTCTTGTGGATCACCTGAATCTCACTGTTTATGCCTGCCCTGAAATGCCTGGGCTCACTTTCCAGAGAGTCACATGATCAGCTGTCAGATCTAGGAGTGCACAGAGACTCGTTCACATGTGAGGTGGGAGGGCCATGAATGTCTCTCTAGTTCTGGGGAGGTCTGTTTCTAGGACATGTACCTAGAGCACAAGCTACCAGGCCCTGGCCGCAGGCAGCCAGATCCCCCAGGAGAAAAAGCACCTCTAGGCACCAGGGCAGAGGCTCTGCACCAAGCGCTTACCTCTGCTCTTCTCTAAAGGAAACCTCTTAGCAGTAACTGGAAAATCACAGGTGGAAATCACCACTCAATAGTTGTAGTTAGAAAAGCTCACAAACACAAAACTTATGAAGAGAACTTAAAAAGGAAAACAAACAAGAAACCTGATTCTTTTCCCTTTTAAATGTGCTCTGTAAAAAATGGAGTGGGGGTGTGTGTGATGAGAAGGCTCAGTGGTTAAGAGCACTAACTGTTCTTCGCAGCACCTGCATGCTGGCTCACTCTGGCTTCTGGGAACTAGGTACACACATGGTGCACATACATGAATGCAGGTAAAACACCCATACACATAAAGTATTTTTTTTTTATTTGAAAAAATAAATAAATAAAATTTCAAAGTGAACAGGATGTTGGAGCTGCTAAACTCAGTCTGGAACTTCTGAAGACAGATGCAGGACGTGAGAGGCTGGGCCTAAAGATTTTTCCAAATGAGATTCAATTCTGCCTCAAAGTAAAGCAGCCCCTTGAAGTGTGAGAGAAAAAGAATTTAATAATACAATAAATTTCGTATCACACAGGGCATGAGTTAAATAAGACCAGGGAACACATTAGAGGTGACCAATCTGCCTGATGTCCTTTGTAAAACAAGGAAGAGATAAAAAAAAAATAAACAATGATTTCTAAATGGACACAGAGGAGTCAGACCCTAGGTGTCACCCTTCATCCACGACCACTGTTAGTCAGGGACAGATGTTTCAGGACCACTTTGACTCCCTACCTCCTCCAGCTATCTCTGGGATAATGAATTTCGGGACTCACACCTCGGTTCTTCCTTTCAGCCATGAATGTTTTCAAGTGAAATTAGAAATTTGTCTCTCACCTACTATTTTAAGATCGGTAATTTTTATAACCAGTTTCATTTCTCTCACACTTAGACCTGCTGCTCCTCACAGGGCAAAAAGCCACCAGAACCCTTTTTTTACTAAAATGTGAAAAGGTCACAATTCCAAAGGCACATCTGCCACTTTTGGCCCTCTATGCTGTCTTAAGTCCTGGAAATTGAAGTTCCGCAAGCCACTACCTCCCTTTCAGATGCCTGGGCCATGTGCCTCCTGCTGGCCTTGAAGGTCAGAGTCCTGTCATGCACTCAGGGCCATAGTTCTCCTTGTGACCCTTCCTTATTGCAAGGTCTTAGGGGATAGGAGCAAGACATCATGATCACGGCAGATCGCTGTCCCCACAGCAGTCAGAGGCAAACTCAGTTGGGGCAAGCTCAAATCTAAAGGCTTTGGAAACCATGAGGAAGGGTCACACAGGTGAGGTCAGTGACCAAGAAAACCAAGCTAAGGCTCGAGATCTCAGGAGGTTATCTGGTCCAAGTGGCACCATCCCAGCAGGAGAAGAGACTTGTTCAGATGTTACACACCCAAATCTGACAGTAGACAGTTCCCAAGCCCAGGAGTTGCAAGTACAGGTGTGACACTTGGCCCCACACTTCAGTCAGATTCGACGGAAAGCATCATCACTAGACATCATATAGCTATGTCTGCCCTCCAAGTCAAGACTTGCCCCCCCCCCCCCAGGCTAAAATATAGGCTGCAGCCACAGATTCTGAAGCTGTGGAGCAAACTGAAGCCCACCAACTTAATCCTCTGTCACCCTTCTTCAGACTGTTCTTGTGGCTTCCGGGGATGTGCCTCATCTTTGGACTAAGCATTGAATGGCAGAGAGGAATGACTTCTGTGAGAGGAAGGAGCACACAAATGACGCTGGGCTCCTTGTCATCAACACACTGTCCCCGACATGATGCCGCGCCACTGGACAGCAATGAACACTGCCCCGAACCCCATTCTTGCTCTAGCTCACATCAACCCCAGGCATCTGCTCATCCAAGCCAGGTAATCACACACAAGACTGGCCTCTGTGTGGGAACTGTTCCCAAACTAAAGCTTGCTATTTGTATGACCATGTTCCTAAATTGCCTGAACACATCTTTCTGTCTTCCACCTTCATCTTGGCACCCCCTTTTCAATAAAGGCCTAGAGATCACAGTCAGATTGTCATGCATGTAAGATTTGCCAACGCACCCTGCTACCCTACCCATACCCCAGAAGCTGAGCATGGAACTCAGGGCTGCTGCGCTGTGTACTGAGAGGGCTTCGTCAGATTCACTCCCTGGAGGACTAATGGGACTCGGCTCCAGCAGAAGCAGGTGGGAGAAACAGAATGAGAAAACCACAGCCCAGAGGGGGTGGGACGGGGAGTTACTGTGTGGAAAAAAAATGTTATTTCAATTATAAAGCGGGTGTGTGTGTGTGAGCATGACTTTAGGAAGGGGAAAGGAGCAATTCAGGAGGAGTTGGAAGGGAGAACATGATCAAAATACATTGTATGCACATATGATATTCTCAAAGAATATTTTTAAAGTAATAAAAAAGGAAGTAAAAAGAAAGCAAGCCACAGCCCAACACCAGAGTCCCAGCTCCTAGGGATATTACCCATTTCTGATTCTGAGCAAGAGGACACAGAGCTTCTCGCTGCAGTTCTGCGGAGGCTGACCCAGCACTGTCCACATCCAGGCTGCTCTGAATTTCCATTCCCTCAAAATTATATTCTTCCTCCTATTCCATTTTTTTTTTTTATAATAAGTGATAAGTGATTTTTTGTTTTTTTGTTTGGAGGTTTGTGTGTGTGTGTGTGTGTGTATTTCAAGACAGGGTTTCTCTGTGTAGCCCTAACTGTCCAGGAACTCACTCTGTAGACCAGGCTGACCTCAAACTCAGAGTGATCAACGCTTTAAAGTGATGTTTGCAGGAAAATGGGACTACATCACCGACCAATGTCCGAGACTCCAGGGCACTGGATCCACAGCCACTGTATTCTATCTGCACACCCACAGTTTCTGAGGCAGAGAGGGGCTGCCAAGTACAGACACAGGAGAGATGGCCACAAGGTGCATCTCTGGAATGAGGTCAACAGATCCCCCAGGGGTTACAGCCAGAGCATCTATTTTCGATGCATTGTGACCAACAGGTATTTTCCAAAAGTGACCCAAGTTATTATAGGAAATGCTCCGCCACCCCAAGATGTCTCCAGCGCTTCCTCGACAGAGAGTTCCTCAGCTCACACTGAGGACTTTCTCTCAGCCTGCACAACGTGTGGCGTTCCCTTCTAAAGTGAAACCAGAACACACGCTCTAAAGCTGCCAGAGACAGGATGTCAACTCTATTTTCTGAAAACCATCTCTGGCATCTTCCTAGAATGAGATAGGGTACCCTCCTGAGCTACTTACCAGAGTATGTCCAACTCTGCTTCAATATTATCCAGGGCAGGGATACACTGCATGCACACTGGTCAAACTTTCTTTCTTTATTTTTATTTTTATGTGCACTGCTATTCTGCCTGCAGGTATATCTGTGTGAGGGTGTCAGATCTTGGAGTTACAGACAGTGATTAGCACCATGTGGGTACTGGGAATTGAACCTGGGTCTGCTGGAAGAACAGCCAGTGCTCCCAACTGCTGAGCCATCTCTAAACTGTAGGCAACTCACTCTACCTTAAAGTTATTCTGCAAAGATTCGAGAAAAAAGTCTGGCAGGGGTGGGGTGTGGGTGTGTGGGGAGTGGGGTCCTTGGCACTTGGTGCTTTCTGAAAAATCTCCCCTTCTTAACAGTTCAGCTTGTTTATACTTTGGCAACAAGAACAAAGACTCCTCTGATTTTTGCTTCTTATCCCTGCCCTGTGTCCCACTGTTTCCCGTCTGGACATCCACACTATGACCATCCCCTGTCCCCAAGAAGAAACCCGATTTAGGCTGTAGCTAGGGAGATCCATGTGTGAGGTCTTGGGATTTCTGTTCCTATTCTACAGCTGGGAGGTCCTCTGCAAATGACCTTCTCTGTGAGGTGGAGTTGGACAGGCAGGATCACTGGTGACGTCAGTTCTAGTTCCCACAGGCCGGGGAACGCTGGATATGTGGCCCCGATTCTCAATCTGTAAAGTGAGACTCAGCTCTGCTTTCCCAGGAGAGATGCTGTGAATACCCACCCGTATGATAAACAAAAGCAAAGTGCTAACTTTGGCTAACTGCACATGTTAGGTGTGCAAGCGCAAGGCTATTTATTGTCCACAAACATGGCCTTCTCCATCACAGGCAAACAAGACTCATCTCAGAGACTGAGACACTGAGGCTCAGCAGGCTCACTATCTCATCCAAGGCTCAAACTACACAACAAAGTGGGGTTTGGCCCTGGTCTGACACACCAAGTTCACTGGGCTGGTCAAATTCAGGGTGGGGCAGAGAGTGGGACTGAAACCACAGCTCACTGGCATCTTGAGGGTGAGATGCTACCTACAGGTCATCACCAAATGTTAAGAAGTATTACCGTAAGCCTAGAAGCCAGACAGGAGGACTCTGAATGATTCATCAGTGTCACACTCCATGCAAAAATTAAGGCTGGTACACTCGGGGGTCTGTGAGCCAAATAGTCCGCTACCCACCCCTTCTGTGAAGAAAAAATAAAAAGCGTCTTCCTGGAATAGGCCACCTCTCTGCACACTGCCAGTCTGTCCTGGCAGAGAGGAGATGCTGTGACAGCGATGGTGTACTCTGCAGCCTGAGATGTCTACTATGGCCCTTTATTATCTTCATCTATGGCCCTTCATTATCCTCGTCTAGATCACCATCCTACATCAGGGAACAAGTCTTGTTCTCACTTCCTACTTACTACTGACCCTCCGTAAAGTTAGATAGACACTTCTAGAAAACAGAAAAATTACAAGTTACTTTGTCCCACACAGAGACAAAGGATACCTATAGGAAAAGATGGTAACTCCAAGGGAGATTCTCTTTTGGTCCTGGTGAACCAGTACTAACCAGTTTTACATATAATTAGTCAACCACCTCACTCGAAGCCGTATTCTTTGTGCTATAAGCTGGCTTTTCCCGCTCTCCTCTGCCGGGCTGCATTACCTACCTCATCCCTACACATGCTCAGTGTGTGCCTGTGCATGAGTCACGCTTTTAACTTCAAAGAAATCACACTTCATGGAACACCCACAATGCCCGCCTGGCCAGTGGTTAGCAAAGCAGCCGTGGGATCCCATGGCACACACAGCATTCCTGGAGGGCAGTGCACCGCAGTGGCAAACAGGTACCTTGGTGTCCTGGCGGCTGCGGGAAGCCAGGGCGATCTGCCTGGCCAGCTTCAGGGCTTCTATCCGCATGATGGCAAACTCTAACTCCTCCTGCCCGAGGGGTAGAGTGAGCAAACCGTAGGGAAATGCATCAAGACAGACAGAAGGGTTTCCACATCCAGGAATGAATGTGCCACATAAATGCATATGAAAGGTGCGCATGAGGAAACACGCTCATCTTTCTCTCACAACCAACACCTCAGCAGATCATGAAACAGGGGTTTAATTTCCTTTTTGAAAAAAAAAAAGAGATCACCCCTTTGAAGGTCTGTCAAAAAATATGCAGTCAAATGTGAACTGATTTCAAAACAGGACAGCCATTTTTACTCTATGGCATTTCTTGGTATCTTTCCCTTTGTTTTTTTTTTAAAAGCTGACCAGTGTTTGCTGTCAACGGCCATGCACCTCTCAGATGCCAGTTAACAATCTCTCTAGGTCAACCTTGTTTCCTAGTCCAGGGGGATAGCAAATTAAGCTGTAAAATTTCCACTCCAGAGATAATTGCTTTGGTTCCGGAAGTAAGACTGAGTCCAGATGTTATCTCAATGGGAATACGGGATCGTCTTATGTGTTTAAACAGCTTGGCTTGACCTGATACTTTTGGTTAGTGAATAAATCATAAACACTGCCTGTGGGGCTATCAATACATCAGAAAAATGACTATTGGAACCAATTTCCCAATAGAAATAGAAAAAGTCCATTCAGTACATAATCACACACTTTGTATAATTCTGGCACCCTGGCTATAGCACACACATATATCAGTGTCCGAGAGGAAAAGAGTTCATCTGGAACATTGCCAGTATTGCCTCAGCTCAATTTGGCTCAGGGGTTCATTTTCTACTGAGGTTTTGACAAACTCCCAAAAGGTCACATAGGGGCTACAAACCTGAAGTTTCTGAGCAAATACTGGGGGGTTCTTTTCTGCTAAGTCAGGCTCCAGATAGTCAAGTGCACCACAGAGAGAGGCAGGATGGGCCAGCCTGCTGAGGAGGGCATCCGCAGAGGCAAAGGCACCCTCCGGAGCTGTCTGAAGGCCGGCAGAGAGGAAAACGGAAAATAGGAGAGTAGAAAGAAAGATATTGATTTCAAGCAAGGACCACACAACCATATACTGCACATTGCTGCATTAAGGCTAAAGAGAACATCAATTAGTGGCCAATACTCACACTGAGACTGGCAGGCCCAGCCCCTTTCCCAAAAGCAGGGCCTCAGGAGCCCTCCCCTGGCCCATGTCATCCTTGTTTCCTAACCGGAGCAGTAGAAGCCACATAACTACTGCTTTTTTTTATTTGAAAATCTCCATGGGTGGGAGGCAAGCTAGTTGATGGGTTTTCAAATGCCAACATAGTTCATCAAAGAAACAGCATCAATGATAAATAATAAGGAAAGTGAGGTTTGAGTAAGGGCCATTTTAAACAGTGAAAAGATGATTTCAAACAAAAGGGTAAACTCCTTGTAGATTAGAAAGACTTCCAAATCAAAGGGCAACTTTGTAGGAGATGAGCCATGGCCAAGTCTGCCACAGTATTTATATGCAACATCGACTCACATCTAGACCCTTTTATTGTTCACTAATTGTGTCTCCACTATTCAACCCAGCATCCACCTGCCGCATGCATAGCAGCAGGCACTCTGTAAATGTCTGTAGCATGAGACAGATCAAATTGTCTAACATACAACAAAAGCAACACACCGAATCAAACAGTTTCAAACCTGTATGAAGATTGCTAGGAGGGAGGCGAAAGAAAAAATATAATTGGCCCAAGTTGGTTTGTTTAAGACATATGGAAGACCCTCGTATGGATATTACACACTCCAGGGAGACCACACATAACATGCAGAGACCTCATCTCAGGGCTATGGGTCCTGCAAGGCTTCAGGAGGGTCTGGGAGAGGATAAGTTGAAAGTCCTGAACCACGAGCAAGAGAAATCACCTATCACTGAGACCCAGAAGAAACACAGTCGATTCCTCAAAGGAGATTATGCCTTTCTCTATCCTTCTTTGTTTTGCTATGCAGGCTAGCAAGGCAGGGGCTGGCTGACCATGGGCTTTAGCTCATCCATCAGTCCAGCTCTAAAAATGGAAAAACAAGCCTGAACAAATAAAGTACTTGACTGAAAACTGCACAACCATCATGGGAGAAATGAAGGCCTTCTCCTCTCTGTGAGATGTGGGGTCTTCTAAGCTGACTGCTGTGGTCTAGGGGCCAGAGTGGGGCCCCACAACCAGGTGAAGAAAGACTTTGTTAGAGGGCCCAGCCCCAGAGCCCCTCAGGCGACACTTACAATCTCAATTGCCTCTGTGGGGGTGCCTAAGGCCATGGCTTCCAGCTCCTTCTGGGATGACTTCTCTGGCACCTGCAAGAGAGTCTCCTGGTTGGAGACCAGCCCACGTGTAACAGGATGCTGGAGTTTTGTTGCGGCGTTCACAAGGGCTTCAGTCTCCTCAAAACTCGACCTGAGGAAAGAAGTCAATCATTAGGGTCTTCTTCTTGGAGACTCACTGAAATCTATTAGGAAGCTCTCACTAAAGAGAAAACATCCCACAAAAACAGACTTCCAAGTCTGTGTCCAAGGAGAGACAGGTTAGGTCTTCGGTGGCTGTCTACCTACAGGCAGGCTACAGTCCAGCCATGTTTAAGGGCCAACTGACAAGGGAAGGACAGAACACAGATGCCATTGGCAAGGGGACTGAGCTCTGGAGTTTAGGGACCAGCCACTTGCTTGCCTGTGTATTCTGAGGGAAGAGGTGAGTCTCTCTCTCTCTAAAATAGAGGTAGGTACCTTTGAGAAGATGAAGTGAGATACTATGCACTCCACACAGTGCCTGTCATATGGGACCACTCCTGGAGAAATGATGTCACTATACTAACACCTACCATCTGGAGAGAGTTTAGTTTGCTGGGCCTACAGTAAGTCTGAGAGACCAAGGCAAGAAGATCTCCAATCCTGCTCAATCTAGAGCAGGTATCTAATGATGGATAGGATGACCTAAATGTGATAGAGCAATGCCTCACACTTCCCCAGTCGAAGGCTACACCATTCAGAACATGCACAGTGGCACGTGCAAACATTAACATCTACATTAATAAGAAAGGTCTGTCATGCTCTTTACATGTGCTAGGCACTCTGACACCGGCTTTCCATACATTATCTCCTAGAAGCCAGGTTCCCTGTACCCACCTCTTAACTATTCTGGGGACTGACAGTCTTCTTTAACCGTCCTAAGTCCCTAGAGGTTACTTTATTCCTCTCACTTTCCACACAGGGAAATTAAGGCTTGGACACCTAAGTAACTCACACCAGATGCAGAGCTGGGACTTAAGCTTTCAGTATTGTACCATACTGCCCCTACTGGACAGATGACAAAACAGCGTTGTCTGTGAACTGTCTGCCTGTTTACTAGAGGGTACTGCCAGGCAGCCATTTCACCTTCATTCAAAGGGCCCTTGGAAAAAGAAGTGAAGCATCTGTGCCCTTGTGGACAGACTGAGTTGTGGGCTACTGCAGACACGCAATGGAACGAAGTCAAATAACAGTGGGAAGAGGCACTTGGGGGCCTCTGGACCAAGTCATAATTCTCTCATCATAGAAGCCATACCCCGAACATGGAGTTGGGGAATCCGACATCCGGACTGGAGGAGACTTGACAGGGCTCTCCTGAGAGGTGTCAAACATAAGGTACAAGGCCTGCTTCTTCGGAGTGTCATCATCCTGTAGGAATCAAAGTCGCACACACGTCAGCCAGGCACAGTGGCCTGAGTATGGCGCTCAAGGGAAGAAAGCACTCATCACTAGGAAACAAGTAAGCCTTCGGTCTTCTCAAGTCCCGGAAGAGAAGAGAGAGCAGGAGGCAACTAGGAGAGGGCCAGGAGGGTGGGGGAGAGGAACCCATAGAGATGGGAGGTGGGAAGAATAACCCCGATGGTGCTGCGATACGCCCTGTTCGCCCCCCCCCCCCAGTGCTCATGGGCCACAGTGGTAAACACTGTTGAGGATGCAGTTAGCCAGCCACATTCTGTCCTCACAGTGGGATGGGGGATGATGAGCAATGCCACTGAGGCCCTGTGGTGGTTTGAATGAGATGTCTCCACAGTCTTGGGCATTGGAATACTTGGTCCCCAGATGACAGTGGTTGGAAGGTTTAGGAGGCGTGGCCTTGCTGGAGGAAGTTGTGTTATTGGGGGCAGGCTCTGGGAGGTTAAAGACTGCTTCTTGCTTGCGGTTCAAGATGTACTTCTGGAACCATAAGCCACAATTGGTCATGGTGTTTTATCACAGCAATAGAAAAGTAACTAAGACTGACCCCAAAGAAAGTCAGGGCAATGGGCTTGTGCAGAAATGACAAGAGTTTTTTCTTCTCGGCTGAGCAGGAGGGTTGTGAGCAGAGGCCATAGCAGGGGCTGGGGCTCAGAACCCCTGAGAATCCATCCATGATCAAGGACTATGGGAGAGTGCAGGTGGATTTGGGCACTGACTATCCAATGTGTGCCTAAAAGGGACAAGAGTTACTGTAAAGTGGTCAGACCAGAGTCCTGGAGCAATGAGTGTAGGAACAGGGACCAACATTTCTGTGCAATGGGATAACTCTGGAGGACCCTGTGCAGCCTTGCTGGATACCCCATAGAAGCCCCCACCAGGTCAGTGAAGAGGAGGAACTCACGGGTAAGGAGGAGCCAAGCTTTTCCATGTATTCGATTTCATAGGAGTTTCTGTAGTCCAGCTCTGAAAGCAAACAGGCAAGATGAATACCAGGGATAGACTGCAAGGCCTGGCCAGGCAGGGGGAAGGCGGGGTAGACTGTAAGACCAGGCCGGGCAGGGGACGGGTGGGCGGGCTGAGCTTTTGGTGACCATCAGTGACTACAGTCTTCAGAACCAGCCTCCATCGAGGCACAGTTCAACTATTTTCAGACAATCCATAAGCTTCCTGCTGGTAGGAGCTTTGGCCCTTAGGAATGTGAATGAGTCCCAAGGAAGTGAAGCCATGTGTTCACACACAGGTCTGCAACGGGCAGACCCAAGTACTTCTATTGTGTTCAGAGTGGAGGGTACAGGTGTTTGGGGATCAATTTCTTCTAACTCTCAAGGGCTGCACATAGGACGGCATGCTACAGTGACATCTTAAAACTGCATTGTACCCTGTCCCTCTCTGTGAATTCAGCAGCCCCAGGACAGGCAACACTCCTGCAGTGTTGCTTCATTAGCTGGTTAGATCCCTCGGTTCTACTGGTAGCTTCGGGGCTGAGGTCTGACATTTTGAGGTTTTAGGGATCTCTCTTGGGGTCCTGTTACCCAGGGAGCTACTAAGGAGAGCATATGGGTTCAAGATCTGCCTGGGTTTTAGAGTTAAGTTCAAGGGTAGCCTGGACAACTTAATGAGAAATCTCTTGTCTCAAAATGGGAAACATTTTAAAAGGGCTGGGGATGTAGTTCAGTGGGAGTGCTTGCCTGGAATGTACAGTGCTCTAGGTACAATTCCTAGGACAAGAAAGGAAGAGAGGGAGGGAGGCGAGGAGGGAGGAAAGGAGGGGAGGAAGGGAGGAAATAATTCTCATCTGCTTTAAATTCTAACCCTCACAGAGCAGGCATGCAAAGTCAAGTGTGACTTTAGCCTCCTCTCACACAAGGTCACATGCAGGAGGCAGGCTAGGAACAGTTTTACCATCAGCACCAAGTGGCATATGTCTTTACAACATCAGGGGAGGCTGAGTCATTGAAGGATAGGGCTATTTCACACTGAAGAGGTCCATAGTTATTTTTAAAAGAATCCTCTCATATCCAAGGATCACTTTGGAGAATGATCTCACACCAGGGCATCACAATGCAAAGAGAACTTGACTATTTCCTCCAATCTAATTGCTAGAGCTTTGCTAGGGAAGTGCCCTGGGCAAGGGATGAAGGGTCTTCATTTCCAAGACCAATGAAGTCCAGCTTACTTGACTTCTCTGTACCTGCTGATTCAACAACGAAATGAAGCTCAAAGTGCCACACTGTCCTGGATAACATGACAAGGTATAACAAAAAGACCTACAATTAGTTATACAATATGAAGAATTATGACCACAGTACCACTGTTCATTCTAACATTTCTCTCTAGACACTAGTTAATCTTTATTAAGGGGAGAAGGGTGAGGAGACTACACTCACCTCCTCCCGTCCCCTTCCCAGTCTCTGTTAGGAAACAACTCAGATGGACAGCTTGCCCTCTGCTGGATGTGGGAAAAAGAGGTAAATGCATTTGTGTATAGCAAGGTGGGGCCACTAACTGGCTATGCAGATGTGTGGGTCCAAAAGCAATTGCTCAGGGCTACAGAGATGGCTCAGAACATGGACTGTTCTCCCAGAGAACGGGATTCAGTTCCCAGCATCCACATTGGACTGCTCACAACCACCTGTAACTCCAGCTCTTTGGAACCAATGTCCTCTGGACTCCAAGGGCACACGTAAACACATAAGCTCATGTAAACACACACACTCACACATAAATAAAACTAAATAAATCAAAAACAAAATGAAACAAAAACAGTTGCTTTCAGGGTTTCCTGGGCAGGCGAGGTCCCAAAGACAGGCTGGTCTAATGCTCCCTAATCTTTTCCTCCTTAGAGGAAAAGAGATATGCCACCATGTCTAAAAATGGTGCTAAAGAAAAGGGCATTCATAAACAGTTGAGCATACTTATAACTCAAGCAGAGTATGCAATCACTGGGAGGTTATGGAGGAAACACAGTTATGGGGACATACAGCCCAAACACTGCACTCCAACTACATGGGTAACTGCTAACCTATGGCCCTCTGGGATTTTGAAATAGCAAAGTCAGCACTATATGCGCACCCAGGTAGGAAGGAACAGAACTAGCTCACACTCTCATCCTACAAATGAAGGCAGAGAGCCTCGTCTATTCTCACCACAACAGCAGCATAGAACAATGAAGGCAGGCAGGCCTGGCCTGCACGGATCACCCCAGACCTTCTTGGTGCACAGCCAATTTCCTCAGTCTTAAAGTGGGGACTACAGGATCTACCACAGAGCTCAGAGGAAATGAAGCCCTGTATGCAAAATGATAGCCCCTGCTTTCCTCTTCTCTCCTATAGAATTACCGTTGCTGTGAATGTATGTTCAAATAGTAATTATGATGTCTAACCCGACATTTCCTTTTCCTGTGGTTGGTGAAGTCTCAGACCGCAGCTGCAACCCTGAACGGATTCTCTTTGAGGAGTGCACCCCCCCCCCAAGATGTCTGATATGCTGAACTTGTCCTTCCTAAACAAGAGGGAAGACCTGACAAAAGGCTTCTCCATCCAGGGCGTGTCGCAGGGCTGGATGCTGCAGGACCAATGCCTCCCAAAGCCCTGCATGGTGTCTTCATGAGGGTGGATTCTCTATCACCCAACAGCTAAAACTGATTGTCACCTGACAAAGCTTTACTATTTCCTAAGGAGGCAGGTGCCACAGAGTTTTGTTTCAAAGTTAAATATATGCCTATTTGCTGAATATTCTCTCTCTCTCCCTCTCTCTGCATGAATATTCATGTGTATGAATGTGTGTATGTGCACACCACAGTGCACACATAGATGTCAAAGGACAACCTTGCCATTCCTTGCCCTCCACTTGTTTGAGGCGGGCTTTCTTGCTCAGATGAATATAACAGGATATCTGGCCACTGAGCTTCTGGAGAGTCTCCTGTCCCTGCCTCCAGCAGGACTGCTTCAATTACACATACTTGTACGGCACAACAGGTTTTTACAGGGGTTCTTGGGACTCGATCTCAGGTCCTCACACTAGCACAGCAAGCACTTTTTTGTTTGTTTGTTTTGTTTTTGTTTTTCAAGACAGGGTTTCCCTGTGTAGCTTTGTAGATCTGGCTGGCCCAGCAAGCACTTTTACTCACCAAGTCATCTCCTTAAGCCTTCCCTACTTGCTGGATTTTTGCAGAAACAATTGTCGAAAAGTGTAGTGAAGTGTTTTAGCACATGATTAACACACTCCCAGATCAAATGTGTCCAATCTCAGTACCAACCCCAAGCTGGTTTCCAAATACTTTTCTCTGGTGTTTAGATTTTTTTTTTTTTAAATCTAGCTCAAGAGGGGTGGGCCAGCAGGGAACAGGAGATAATACCAAAGTGGGAAGTAAGATGCATGTGTCCAAATGTCCTGACTGTTTCTGGGACATTAGGCTTCTCTCCCTTCTCAGGTCCCTATACTTCACACAGGTGATGGCTGTTGCAAAGATCACACTGACTGAGCCAACACTCAGCTGTTTACATGCCCTGGCCTTGCATTTCTTTTGCCTCAAACCCATCTTTAGCCCCCATGATGCTCATGTAGTGTGGGGACATGGAAAGGAATAAAGGGTTGTTGCCTTCAGTAAACAAACAGCCCAGTAAAAAAACAAGAAACGCACACACATCTTCACCATGGTATTAAGAGCCCCCAGATCAAGCCATAAAGACAAGCAGGGAAAGGAGTGGCTATCCAGGCAAAGGCTGAGCCAGGCAAAGGTGGGAAAGGGAGAGGGAACTTCCGGTTCTCCAGACTGCTGGGAGTATAGGTATGTGCCACTACACATAGTACTTATGCAGAGGGGAGTGAGCCCAGGGCTCCATGCATCACTCTACCAACTGAGTACACCCTAAGGTACATTAATTACTCCAGTCAAACAATCAGAGAGAAAGCAGAAACTGAATACACAGCACAAAGGAAGACACGGAGGTAAGACAAGTGCTTAGGATCTTCCCAAAGCCATCAAGTCCTCATTAGCAAGCCTGGGGAAAACCTCTGGCTCCAGGCTGGATTAAAACGAGTGACCATATAGTCTGACCAATCTGTGGGGGATATGAACAATGACGGCACAAGGCCCATAGGTGGGTTGACCTAACTAACAGTCAGGGCTCACCGTGCCTCATGTTCCTTTGGAGCTGTGCCTTTCAAAGCTGCAGAAGGTAACAGAAGCCATACAGCCAAGAAAAAACAAGTGAGGCTTCAGGATGTGGTTAGAGGGGACTGGTCTGGTTCTCAGCAGATTGTGGTCAAGGAACAGCTGCTCTCAAGCGTTAGCTTTGCATACAGTGGGAGGTGTGCAGACTGTCTTTAATGGTTACCTGGCTGGCAAGTGTCTTTCCTGGCTCTTTGCCCCCTAGCGACAGTATTCTCCAAGGCAAGGTGTGGGTCTGGCTGGCCACCGAGTTGCTTACCCTCTGAGGGTGAATTGAATTTGGTTTCATTTACAAAGTTAGACAGGTCCGAGGGCTGTGGGAAGTCCTGTTTGTCAGCATCCAAGTCCACTGTCATGCATGTCCACTTCTGGCTGGTGACGGCCAGCTTCTCCTCATCTGTAGCATGGACCACTGCAGATATTGCTGGGGGTGCTTCCGGTGTGGCAGCTGGAGTGGAGTCCTGTGAAGAGAGGGGACAGCCTCTACTTTCATCCCATTTCCTGATCAGACCAGGGAAATCCCTCCATTTGCTCCCCTGGGCCTCTAATCCACAGTGCCCCTGGAGAAAACTTTACACTGCCGATCTCCTTTATTGATGGTTGATTTCAGAGAGTGACCATGGGTTTATCAAAATTAATTAAAAACAAAACAAGCAAAAAACCTGGGCATGGTAACTCCTGCCTGCAATCCTAACATTTGAGAGACTGAAGCAAGAAGAATGCTGGGCGTGTACACATGTGTACATGGTGTATGTGTACACATGCAAGAGTGTGTACATGCATGTTTGTGTGCACAAGTGCATGAATGGTGTGTGTGTGTGTGTGTACAGGAAAAGCAACATTAACTTCCCAGTCAGCAGTAAAATGCTCAAAGCATCAAAGAAATGCTGTACCTGAGAAGGTGGATCAGACAGAGGAGACCTCTTCGGCGACTTCTTCACCCTGAATGTATCACTGTCAATAAGATGGGACATGTAAACACGGAGTCATGGATCATTTCTAAGCACCCAGCAACCACCCAGCCCTCCCACCTGCCCAACAGCCCATTCTGACTTTTTAATTGATATTATTTTTGCCCCGAAGCGGAAGATCCATCAAGCTGGAAACCTTTAACGAGAAGCCATTTTGGAGAGCTGACCCAGAAAAATGCAGCTAAATTTAACTAACTGTTCTTAACTATCACACAGCAAACTTGTGGTGAGGAGACTAATTTCTGAGCCAACTAAGGTTGGGGGACGGGCTGCAGGCGCATGACACTAATTAACGGGATTCAATTTTCACACAGGCAAGGAGACACAGCTTTTAATGCAGCCAGAGGAGCCTCATGGAAATAGAAAAGTTCTGGATTCTGTGGGGATAGGGAGCCCTTTGTACTCACAGGAACATACAGCGCAATAGACAGGACTCTGGGTACAACTAAAGGCAGTTGAGGAAGATGAGATTTTATGCCTCTCCCTAGCTGTGGGTAATGGACATGAATCCAAACTATTTTCTCCCTTTCTGTATCCTTCACACAGAATAAGGGAGGTGGAGCAGACTGACCCCCAGGAGAAAGGGGTGGGTTTTAGCATAAATAGTACTATTTAGTTCACTAGTCACCATGTTCTTGGGGCCACTTCTATAATCAAAAATGAAAGCCCTCAACCTGCCAACTGGCCCTTTTCTCCTGGTTTCCATCTCTCCCCAGTATGGTGTTAGGACCAGGCAAAGCTGGAGCTTAGGTGTGGAGGAGGCAGGGTCCCTCAATTAAAGTCCCATAACCCTCCTCTGTTTTCTATGTCTACTAAGTAGGTAGGGAAATCTGACACCCAAGTTCCTTCCTTGTGTACTCTCAAATAAAACACTCCAACAATGGCATTAGATGATTAAAAAAAAAAAACCCATAAATGGTTATTTACAGCATTTATGGCATTTGCCATAAGAACAGTTCAGTCCCAACATAAGGTATATATTTATTCATGCATATAAATATATAGCTGTTTTATAGATGCTAAATGACTTGAAAATACTAAAGCAGCTGTTTGGGTAGGACAGAATTGGGAGACTCCATGCTCTCCTGGAGGGTGCAAGAAGCCTGGGTGCAGGTCAACTTCCCCTGTAAGGGCAGGGAGAAGGCACATAGATTCAGAGTCCTGAGCTCTGCCCTGGCTATGGTATGGAGCACCAGAGGCTTACGGTGGCCAGTTGCATTGATGCCTGGTAGAGTACCCAAAGATGAGACATTTTAGCATCCAGTCTAGACATAAGTAACCATGAATATGCCGAGGTACTCTGGCAATGATTCTCAGCCATGGGTTCCATTCTGAGCTGATCCCACATTCCCTTAGATTCCTGCAAGCATGATTTTGGAAGAGCCCAAATGGTAGTGCCTTATAATGTAACAAGAAACAGGCTCAGCAGTCTCTGCCCCAGGCTTCAGGCAGTGATTAATAGGAAAGCATCCTGCTACTGAAAGCAATCACCCACCAGCCTAACTTACAACAAAAGAATGGATGAGGAGTTAAAAAACAATATATGAATTTCAGATGAAAAAAAAAAAAAAAGCAGAGGAAAGGTTCCATTCCCAGACAAGCAGGCAGCTGTTGGCTAATCATGTTTTCATAGCTCAGCAGTCTCATGCTAATCATGATGAAACAGAAAAGTAACCTTGACTGCAGGGGAGCCGTGACCCATCATTCCCAAGCTCTACACAGAAATACAGCAGCCACCACAGAGAAGAAAGGAAAAGGGGTTGCAAAGCAGAAACAAGGCAGAAGCCCCACGTTGGGTGCAAGAGGCAGACTGCATTAAATTTACTTACAACAGAGAACACACAGACATCACATCTTCAACCATCCTAAGACAAAGAAGACAAAGAAGAGAGACAGACAGAAGGAACTGACAAAAAGATAAATCCGTGGCAACCAGGCAGTAAGGGATAGGATGTGGCAGCCATCCACAGAGGATCTGCTCCAGGGTGCACAGCCCAGCCTTCTGGGAAGGGGCTGTTAGAATACAGCTTTCTCTCCAGTTTCTGACCACCTGAGGGGGGGTGGTGGTACCTAACAGTTCTGCCTCCGCGGGACAGTATTCCAAACCAGCAGACCTGCATGTACTAAGGTGACACCAGGATACAGGGTCAGCTTTCCCAGCCAGCTTAGCTCTAATAAACAAAGGAGAAGGCAACTGGGAATGCACTATACTCTCCTGGGTCAGAAGAATGGAGAGGCTGCCAGGTGATTCTTTTTCTACAGGTGAGAAGTTATGGCTTTGAAGGGTAAGTATTTCTGGGTATTATTCCAACCCCCCATCCCCTACAGGGTTTCTCTGTGAAACAGCCCTGGCTGTCCTGGAACTTGCTCTGTAGACCCCAGCTGGCCTCAAACTGAAAGATCTGCCTGCCTCTGGCCTCCCAAGTGCTGGGATTAAAGGCGTACACCACCACCATCTGGCAACATTCCACTTTTAAAGTAAAGCTCTATGTGGATTTGGGTGAGTGGGGAGCTAGGGATGAACTGGGAAGAGTTGGGAGAAGGGAAACCATGATCAGAATATACTGTATGAAAAAAATTTCTATTTTCAGTAAAAGTTAAAATTATTTTAAAAAATAAGTTTCTAATATGTATCTTATATACAAAGGGCCTGGTTGGGGAACAGAGCTAGAAGTCCATGTTTGGAGCCAGAATGGCCTCAGTTACTGTAAGATGCTGGTAGAGAAACTCAAGGCCAAAGGTTCCTGCTCTATTCTCAGATATCTGATGCAGACGGGTCACCCCCTGTCATTCAAGCCAAGTAGACCCAGGGGCCAGCCCTGGGGCTTGTTCTACTGCCTTGGGGTGGGGGACTGAGTTTTTCCCACTTATCAAGTTACAGTGATGCTTCCCATGAGAGCCAGGATATCTGTAGGAACTCGGCACATGGTCCTCATGTTATAGGTCCTTAGGAATGGACCGATAATGAACAAAGTTGGGCTTCTCAGAATGAGTACCCACACCAACACAAAGCAGCCAGGGCAATCGTTGGCAAGTGTTTGTGGACAAAAGCCATTCTTCCTAGAGATTGTAGGTTTGTTTCCCTCATCCAAGTCCCACCATTCTCTTAGACCTTCAAGTCTTATTTGGAAAAGATGACTAGAGAGTGGGAAGGCAACAAAGAGCCCATTCTTTTACAGGTTCATCAGAGGGCACACAGCAGCTCTCTCCATGGCCTCCTGTAGCCTGCTGCCACACGTGGCCCCTGAGTTAGTTATATTAGCAGGCAGAAACAAATGCTATAAATTATAACAATATTCTGCAGGGTGTCTATCCCAGCTAATCGAAAGGCAATGCATATGCTAATCAGGGAAGAGTTCGGCCACCAACAGGAAGGTAACCAGGACTACTCCTTTTCTACAGAACTTGCCATATTCCCCTGGAGATGAAAGGTCATCATTGGCTAAACATAAAACTTCAAGTCACTGATTCATTAAGGCAAAAGACCAGGGACTTCGTAGGTTTGGGGGTGGGGAGATGATACCGCAGAGGCTGCAGAGAGAAAGGAAATGTGTATCCTATCTCCTATCTGCTTGGAGAAAGAGCCACAAAAATGGTGTCATTCCAGCAACAGGGGGCAGGATGAGGGCAGCTGGGGATTTTCCAGGCACAGGCAGGGCTAGAAGTCACAGCAATGCACACCCACTCTGAGTCCTCGTCACCTCCCTCCTTGAACTTACGTCTTCAGGGGGGTCTTCTTCTTCTTGGCGGGCTTATTCAACCCATCCCCGTCCACTTCGATGGTGCTGGCTGGGATCTCAAAAGAGGCTGGGGATTTAGAAGGTGAGCTGGGGGTCTTAGAGGATGTCTTAAAGGGGTCAAGGGACTCTTCACAGGCATCGGGGTCAAAGTTGTAGGACTGTTGGGGCAGTTTGGGAGACTCTTGCATCTTTGAGGTGGAGGAAAAAGGGTTAAAGTTGGGGTCATCCCACTTGTCTATATCAAAGGTGTAGGTACCTTTAGCAATGGGGATGTCACTGGGTTCAGTAGGGGACCTTGGAGGTGAGGCAGGAGTGTTGTCGAGTTTCTCAGGTGTCTTTTTCATCTTTGGCCTCCTTAGGGGCATTTTGGCAACTGGCTTCTTGCCTATCTTTTTGGTGGGAGGGGCGTTTTCCTGCTGAGTGTCCCAGTTACCCTTATCCTCAGAATAGTCAAACTCCAGTCTCACTGAGAGCCCTTTGGCAGGCAAATCCTCCTGCCCTCCACTGTCCGACAGGGTCACCTCCACTGCCTCAGGGGCTGTGGTAAGAGGCACTGATTTCCTCCCCACAGGGGGTGAGTTCTGCACTCTGCCTCCTCCAGAAACCAGAGGGGGGATGTCTTCTGCACTCTCCAAAGTCAAAGGTGAGGTGGTTGTGGGCACAGTTGCAGGCTCCAGGGGCGTCTCCTCTGACGAGGTGCACCCAGCGCCCTCAGGTGTGGGCAACTCCGTCTCCGTCTTCGTCTCTGGCGGTAGGTGCTCTGCAAGGTGTTCCTCGCTGGGGACTGGACTCTCTTCGTCTGGCTCCTGCTGGGTCTCCTTCACTGGAGGGGTTTCTGTGGGTTTCTTGGTGGCCTGCTTCTTTTTTAAGGAAGGTGGCCGTGTTTTTTTAGTTCGCTTAAGGGTGCTGGAAGCACTGTTGGATCCTGTACCACACGCATCTGTGGCAAGGGCCGCAGCTTCCGGGCTGCCCGGGCAGGAAGCACCATCAAAGTCGCTGGCTTGCAGGCTGAGCGAGCGGGACAGCGTAGACTTGGAGGGGGGCACGGAATCAGTGGATTTCCTCCGTGTGCTCACCTTACATTCCTGACCCTTATAGTCGGCGGAGCATGGCTCCAAGCTCTGAAAGTTGTCCACCAACTCAATGCTGTCAAAGTCTAAGTTGTAAGTCCCACTGCTGGCTATCGGCTTGTCTTCATCGAACACCGCCGAGGAGGAGTGAGAAGGACGGAAAGGGCTTCCTTCCACGGAGTCGCTGTGAGGGCCATCGGGAACCACAACTGGCTCAGGACTGCATCCTGAAGAAACAGAGACAAAGCTGTCACCTAAAGATGTGGGACACTTGAGAACACTTCTCTTTCTGCACCAGATCCCCACTTTGCAGAGCAGAGGTTGACAAACTCCAAAGATGGGCACCCTGCAGGGGCAACAAATCCTGGTTTCATAGCAACACTGGCTTCAGACCCTGGGCGTGCCCTCAGTTCCCTCATCTGAATAATGGGAGCTGGGAGCTGATGAAGGAAAAGCCCCATGGTTCATTCCAAAGCAGTTTACCAAGTGCTTGACCTTGGCCAGGGGTCATGCTAAGAGTCAGAGCAACAATCAGAAAAGAGATGAAGGCTGGCTGTAGACCATTGTCCTCTCAGCCTATCAGCCATTACCATTGCCACCAAAGCATCTGTTGACTACTTGCAAGAGACAGGCCTGATGACAGTCCCTCATGAAGAAGGGGTTGGGGAGGGTTGTTAGACCCTCACCTAGAGTCCCAACACCTCTTCCTACACATACCCAAGCTAATTGGTCTTCTTGTAAAGCGTGGAATGCTAGCTGAATAGAGAACTCTCTATCTTTACATCTAAGAAGAAACTGTCATCCACACTAAGGTGACTTTCTGTGGTGTGGCTGTTTTGGGGTCACCCACACTGACTCTAGAGGAATGGTACTTTAATCTTTCATTAGTGTCCTATCAGGTTTGTTCGTAATCTCACCAGGAAGTTCAGGAAAGCATCTTAGACGAAAAGGGCTATATATGCAAAGGCCCTGGGGTAGGAGTAAACCTGGAGTATTATAAAAACAATGGTGAAGCTGATGTGGCTGAAGTCAGACAGGAGCTGGACAGGAAACAACGAAGGCAAGCAAAAAAACAGCCAACCTTTGGTATATAAATTAAATATGGTCACAGTCAACCCTGATCCTGGCTGCTCAGACACTGGGAAAAATGTGCAAGGCTTTATGGAGGCGCCCATTAGCCGAGCAGAACTGAGATAACCCTTCACCACCTGCCCCTCCAGACACGACCTGGACCCTCCCCCACCAACCTGCCTGCCTGCCTTGCTCTGGCTTTGCCTCTTGTCCATTTTCAGTCCTCTCTTCCCAGCTTTTTAGCTCCTCCAGCCCTGCCAGCCAATGAGGCTGCTCCTTATCTTTCAACACGCTCAGGGACTCCAAATGTCAGCCAAAGGATGCCCAATAATCTCACTGCCTCACTGCTCCCAGGAACCCCACCAGCCCTTGCATGGATTTCTGGGTTTCCAGCTGTCCTGCTAGAAAAGCAGAAATCTTGCACCATGGTTTGCAGAGGCAGAACAGAAAACAGAAAAGGCTGGGCGGCGCTGGTGGAACTGTGACCTTGGTCTGTGCACACGGACAGACATTAGGATGCATTAGCCCCTCTCTCCAGGTAAACTTCTGGCTAAAGTCCAGGAAGCCATTACACCTGAGTTTCAGATAAATGGACAGTTTCTAAGAGTATGCATCACATGAGATCCAGACTGGCTTGGGTGTCTTACATTTTTCCTTTCTAAATGGTTGTCTTATCCTTCGTCCCAACAATGCAGGTGGGGGAAAGGCTCACACTCAAACAAGCCAGTCTGTTTCTGTAGAATGCACCCCCCTCCCCCCACCCTGAGCTGTGGATACTCTTTGCTGTGGGGTGGGGAGAGGGACCTCTCATGCTGCTTCCTAACTTAGCTCACAGGGAAATCGTGCAGCTGATGAGAGATGCAGACAGCTCAAGGAAATGGCAAGCCTCTCAGGTTCAGAAAGAGGCTGGCTTATCTCTATTTCCAACCCGGGGAAATTTTCCCTCAGAAAGCTTAATACACATCCCTTGGATTACAAGCACCTGGCGAAGCCTACCTGTCATTCTAGGAGTCAATGCTGGCTCCAAGCCTTCCAGTCTCTCCCCTAACTCAACTCCACTAAGTATACATGCCCTAAACATTTGCAGCCTCTGGTCCCAGCTCTTTGCACCAAATTATTTCCTACCACCACCAAACACACTCGCTTCCTTCTCGTCTAAGGTGTCCACCTTTCTTCCTTCTGAGGTCACTTCCCTTCTCTTCTGAGGCCCTCGGGCTTTCAAGCACAGCTTCTCCCGGTCAGCAGCAACCTGTCTTCCTGCCCTGTGGCTGCTCTGGGGTACTTAGTTCAGAAGGCAGGAGACCATAGATGCTGGGGGTGGGGCACTCAGCCATTCCTTCACTTCTGTAGACAGACTCTCCAACGCCAGCCTTCCCTTTCAATCTGTTCCATCACCTCGGCAGCCTTCAAATGTCAGTATTTTTCCCCTCATCATGCAACAGTCAGCTTGGTTTTCCTGCCTACTTTGCTTGGCTTTCCTATTCAGAAGTGCTGTTTCCTAATTAAGTCACAGGCAAAGAAATCCGGTTTTGCTGTTATTTCTTATCTCCAGCCCAAAGGATGCTTGGGGGCAATCATCCCTCATTGTGGGATGCCAGCCTTTTCAGTAAAACAATACTTCACCTCATCCTTAGCTTTGACCTACTAGATGCCAGTAGCACTTCTTTCCTAGTTGTGACAAAATGTCTCCAGACATTGCCACCTGTTCCCAGGAGGATGACACTGCTCCTGGATGGGAGCTATTATTTTGAAGAATAGTTCTTAGGGCAGATGGCTCTCCTTATAGTCCTTCAAAAGGTTGGGATGGCTCTCCATGTCATTGCCCTGGGCAAGCCCTGACTTGCAAGGCAAGCATGGCCAATTGGGTTCCCACTAGGTTTCTACATAGCCACATAGCTCTACATAAAGACTCCATTCATCCTAAACCTGGGGTGCTCCCAATGTCAGTCACTATGAGACACACCTTGAGTACAGAGGTAAGGAAAGAGGGGACCACAAACCAATCCATTCACATCAAGATGTCCCCTGAACTCACTGGTGCAAACCTGGGACTCTAAAATCCACATTGCACCCTTGGCTTAGATTCTAGTTCAGTTCCGGGGTAAGTCAGCATCTGCAGCTGACATGAAAAGAGCCCCTGGAGATGTTAACCAGCTCAGCTGCCCTCACCTCAAGACTGGATGGCTTCTACAATGAAGAAGAAATGTGTTTCTCACTGTCCCGAGTTCTGAGGCCGGAAGTCCACAATGGAGGTGTTGGCAAGCGTGGCCTCTCCTGGGGCCGTTATCCTTGGCTTTCAGGTGGTCACTTCTGATGTGTTGTCTTTACATGACCTTTCCCTTGAGTAGATGTATCATTGGTATCTCCTCTTGTTTTTGTTTTTTGTTTGTCTGTTTTTGTTTTTTTGAGACAGGGTTTCTCTTATATTTCTGGGTGGTGAGCCTAGCCTTTAATGGCTGAGTCATCTCTCCAGCCCAAGACAGGGTTTCCTCTTATTAACTTTGAAGCCTGTCCTGGAACTCTCTCTGTAGACCAGGCTGGCCTTGAACTCATAAAGATCTACCTGCCTCTGCCTCCCGAGTGCTGGGATTAAAGGTGTGTGCCACCATAGTTGACCTGATACCTCCTCTCGTTACAGGGCTCCACCCAAAGAACCACAAACCTTTAATTACCACCTGAAAGACTCTATCTCTATGATACCACATCAGGAGTGAGAACTTCAACATGTGGATTTAACAGGTACATAACCGAGTCTATAACACCAGTGTTGGGCAACACAGCAGGCACACAATCCAGTCTACAGCACCCATGCTGGGCAACATAACCTAAGCTAAACAGATGTACTGAGAAACAAGAGGGATTTAGAGGAAAGAGAGTGCCCTGTCAAATGACATCACCCACCTGAGGTCTCTTCACCAGCGGCCACATGTCTTAGCCTTGCTGGAGTGTTTCCTAAGTGACACTTGAGATGGCCAGAGAGCTCCCTCCTGCACTGTGAACTCTCTTGGGGACAGGGATGCAATGGCTAGAGTGAACCCCTGGCATCCTGATATGACCTGCTCAGATTCCCAACTGACTAATAAATCAAGCCCACAGGGAACATAGCTGACCATCTGAGTACACTAATATGGAAACGGTCTCCTTTTTAAGCAGGCTAATGGAGATCAACAGAGCATTACTTGGTCCTCTTGTGGCATTTTGCTGGTAGTTATGGGTAACCCAGAACAAGCATATATATGATGAATTCAAGATCCCTCAACTTGTCTGGCCTAAAACACATCTGGGACACTCACCAAAACCAAGACGTCCCACTTTCCCAGCACTGATCAGTCCACCCCTTCCTAAGAAGTAGACCAGCAAAGCCAAAGCTTTGAGTTTCCATTTTAACAGGTGCCACACGTGAGTATCGTGGGCAAGGAAGCCTGGGCCTCATTCCTTTTTAAATATTAAAAACATTAAAAAAATTTTTCCCAAATATTGTGTATAAATGTTTGTTTTCATTTAATTGGACTTTGTTATATAAAATTAAATAAAAAATAAATATAAAAATATTTTTTTTATGTGTAGGGGTGTCTTGCCTGCATGTATGTCTGTACACCACATGTGTACTTGAGACCTGAGGAGGCCAGAATGGGGCACTGAATTCCCTGGGACTGAAGTTACAGTTATAAGCCACCATGTGGGTGCTGGGAATAGAATTTAGGTCCTCTGCAAGAGTAGCCAGTGCTCTTAACCACTGAGCCATCGTTCCAGCCTCACTTTAATCTTAAAGCTTTGCTCCCATCCTGTAAGACAATACTTTAGCACCTGGCCACGCAGTGGCTTGAGGGTTGAGGGTGAGCTCAGACAGCACAGGGTCAGTCATGAGGCTGAGCCTCCCTGTGAGGCTGCGTAGATAGAGGCAGGTCGACAGAGTCCACTGCCCTCCTTGGATGTGGTTCAAAACTCAAGGCTCAAGAAACTAAACCTAAAATGGGTTAGTAAGAGTGGCAGAGGCCCCTGGCTAGGCCTTCTCTCTTTGGAAGATATGGCTGAGTCCTAAGAACCCCCACCTGGGGAGGAGGGCTCTCTGCACTGCTCCTGGATGTCCTTCTTGTTGTGGCAGGTCTCTTCCCAGACCTCCCTCAAGTCTCAGAGGCTTGCCAGAGATCAAGGC